AAGTGCATGCTCACGAGCCTTCCATCCTTTGTAATAACTGAAGTCCGTCCCGAATTCGTCACGGACATATTTCTGAATTGATTTGGGAACCGGACCCTGTTTGACGCCTATAAATTGGTTTTTCATGCAACTTCCAATAACGGAGTACGTTGTTTGCCTGTGCTTCGCCGAACGCTTTTCTAACGAGCAAGAGTGAACACCATTATACTTGCGGATTACAAACATGTTCGATAGTCTGAGTTTGCAGGCTCGGATACGCCACACACATTTCGGATCCACACACTCTACGACAAGCACGCCTTTATTTGATTTTGTTGTTCAAAACTCAAACCTCCCCTTCAAAGCTATTAAATGCAGCTTTTCCTTCAAATCATTCTTACTTGTAAAGTACTGATCAACTTCTAAACTAGATCCGTCACTGAAGGTAGATTCATGAGATGATCCAAACTCAGTCTAGTCGATACAAACTAAAGGACCAGCAACTTCTACTTCATTTAAAATGGCAAGTGGTTGTGGCTCTAGCTGTAGCTGTGACTCTGGTTGTGGTTGCGACTGTGGTGGAATATCATTACGAGTCGAAAACTCATCTGTAGCTACAATACCCATAAAATCACGATAAAAAAAATCGTCATGCAAAAGATTTCTCTTAATTTTGACTCCATCAATATGTTCTTCTAGATTCATAAACTTCTCATCCACTATCACGTGTAGCGGTACCTCGTGGGCTGTATCCTTGAAGAATAACAAATCATCATTGTCTTTTATTACAACGGGCAACGATTTCTGTTTCAAATTCGGTACCCATGATAACTGCAAGGAATATTTTTGTCCATCAATTTCACATTTCTACAAATCTTATCAACGAAGGTTTCGAGAGTATCATTCTCATCCATATATATGCCAATTAAATTACAGTCTGTATGCCACACCCAACAACTTTCATTCTCCTCCCATTTTCCTCCAATGTCAACAAAAATCCTCCACTTAGGCATTATTTAGATATTAAAACTGCAAAAATTTAATCAAGATAATAATATGTCATTAAACCAAACCAAATATCCCACGAACAGACTAAGAACATACCATATAATGAGAACAGACCAAGAACATACCATATAATAAGAACAAATCAAGAACAGACCAAAAATAGACTAAGAACTAACTGTGCAATAAGAACAGACTAAAAACTGACCGTGCAATAAGAACAGACTAAGAACCGACCGTACAATAAGAACATACTAAGAACAGACCACGAACTGACCATGTTATAAGAACAGACCAAGAACAGACCACGAACCGACCATGTAATGAGAACAGACCAAGAACAGACCATGAACCGACCATGTATAAGAACATACCAAGAACATACCACGAACCGACCATGTATAAGAGCAGACCAAGAACATACCACGAACCGACCATGTATAAAAACAGACCACGAACCGACCAAGAACAAACCTTTTTTTTCTAAACCCAGCAGATCTTCATCATATCAGACAATGTAAACTGGTCTTTTGCCATGTAAAATTACTATTTTCATAGATTTTTAACATTTTTAACTATATTCTCATCTTAAAAACATACGAACAACAACAAAAAACACCATGAGAGATATAGAAAAAGAAAGATTTACTTAGTAGCTCTTCTTCAAACTTCATTTTGGACGAGAAAAAAATGCTGAATGAGCAAGATAATAATGTTAATGAGGTTATGCGACGACGATGACTTGAGAAGAAGAGAGAAGAAATAGAAGGCGGCTGAGAGAAGAAAACGGCGCAAAATGGAAGAAGATAAGGAGAAAGAAAACCTTAAAAGCATAATTAATGACGTGATATGCTGATGTAGAAGTTGGACTATTTATCTAATTTATTTATTTATAGTTTATTTACTTAAAAATACTTTTTGCTTAGTCTATTTATACAAAGTGTCCTCTTAAAAGCATAATTAATGACGTGATATGCTGATGTAGAAGTTGGACTATTTATCTAATTTATTTTTTTATAATTTATTTACTTAAAAATACTTTTTGCTTAGTCTATTTATACAAAGTGTCCGACTATCGTAGGTTAGTAATCGTGAACACCTTGCTCACGGTATAGAAAACCCTCTCCAGAATAATGACGTAATAAAAGCGGCAAAACCCGCCATTCACCAAGGAAAGCGAGAGAGCGAAAGCCCTCGCGTTCGCTTCTCTATAGATTCATTAATTTTTGTTTTTAAAATTTCAATTTGCATGATCGAGCTTTACGTGGTAAGTTTCGAAATTTAATTCATTGTTTTGATTTTTGATTCAATTTTGGTTATTTTGCTCACTGGTTTATGAAATCTTCTTTTAATCGGTAGATTGAATGAAATTCTGTGGTTTAATTTGCGAAAATGACGAAGTGTTGCTGTTTAGGTGCTGAAAAATGGAATGGAAAATTGTTCTTTAAACCATGAATACTGAGTGGAGAAATTGATAAGAGTTTCAATGGATCCAGACGAGGACAGGATTCTGCTGCGTAGTTTGGGCGTAACGTCGGCGAATCCTGAAGATATTGAGCGCAACATTTTATCACAGGTACACTCATTGTTCGTGTTTTATTATTTTGATTCGTGTAATTGCATTGGAAGTTTTTGACTTAGTAAATATCTTCTGTTAGTGGTATGTAATATTGGGTAATGTTTGGTTTTCTTGAGTGAATCTTTAATGGAAAGCTGATTCCCTAACAATGTCGAATTCAGTTTTGTTCGAATTAATAGAAGTTTTATTATGGAAGGAAAGATGCGAAAAAAAGGTGATTTGCCCTTCTTGTTAAAATTGTGTTCTAAAACTCCATTATTCTGCTGTGGTGGAACTTCTGATGTTAGGCCCATGGATAAGAAGCGTTAAGCTTGCTCTTTTGAGATTGTAGTAGCTAAGTACTGTAAAAGTATAAGAATAATTTTGCAAGTTGTATTGACAATATCAGGCAACAAGTAATGTGGGCAGTAGTGAAGTTGGAGAAGACATTGAGGAGAATGCTCTTGAGCAGTCAGAAACTGTGGACCCGTCAACCGCAAGCCAGGCGAGACTCTACAATAAATTGAGGGCGGTAGAATTTGAAATAGATGCTGTTGCCTCTACTGTCAAACCAGAAAGGAAAATCCTACAAAATGAAGACAATGCTTATGATGGTGATGGCAGTACAGAGCAAGGGGCCGAAGAGGATGGCCCTCAAGACTCCTCTAATGAGTTAGACCTTCATCATGCTTTAGCCACTGACCGGCTGAGAAGTCTAAAGAAGACAAAGGCTCAAATTGAGAAAGAGCTTTCTGGTTTGCGCAAGAGTAAACCGTCCAAAGGTGTTGAGCATGACAGGTCAATATTTGATATTGTCAAGGAAGAGCCAAGACCCAAGAGGAAGTTAAAAGAAGTTAAAAAAACAGGCAAAAGTTCTGAGAAGCGTCATAAAACAGTCTCTTTTGACGAGGATGATGATTTCAATGCGGCGTTGGATGCAGCTTCTACTGGATTTGTTGAAACTGTGAGTTAACATTGTTCTATAATTTCAACCCCAGTATGTTCGACTATTTTTGAGGAATTACAATATATAATTTCATGTGTGTAAACATGTCAAATTTTTAAAGTTGACCAAAGGAACAAGATGACTAACTGTACATTTATATATACTATATAGGAAAGGGATGAATTAATTCGAAAAGGAATTTTAACGCCCTTTCATAAGCTAAAGGGTTTTGAACGTCGCATTCAAGAGCCAGGGCCATCTCAACGGCACAACATTTCCTCTGAAAAGGAGAGAAATGATGATTTTGCTTCACTCAGCGTTGCTAGAGCTGCCAAGGCAATGGCAGAGGCTGCACAAGGTCGCCCAACAACCAAGCTACTTGACTCAGACGCTCTACCAAAGCTTGATGCACCCACTCATCCTTTTCATAGGCTAAAAACATCTGTCAAGGTTTGTCAATCTCCAGAAAATGAAGAAGAAAAAAAGAAGAATTCTAGAAGGAAAACTAAACGGCCTTTACCTGACAAGAGGTGGCAAAAGCTCATATCTCGTGAGGATAATCATTTTGAAGAAAATGGTATGTTTCAAAATTCTCCTTGCTTGTGGTTTCAAGGAGCCGTAGGGTAGCTCTAACCTGTATAGAGCGCTGGTCGATTTTACACTAGCTTGACAATAATTAATGTCTATGTCACTGGTTTTATTTTCGAAGTATTGCATAATTTGTTTATCATCATATGAAAGTTGTTTTCTTAAAATCTTGCAGAAGATATAGGAGGAGACTTGCCCACTTCCACTGGTGAAGAAGAGGAACAAGAGCAAGAAGACATTGAAGATGAAGATGATAGCGCACCTCCTTATATTATCCTTGAAGGTGGGCTTAAAATTCCAGAAAAGATTTATAACCAACTTTTTGACTATCAGAAAGTAGGGGTTCAGTGGCTGTGGGAATTGCATTGCCAAAGAGGAGGAGGAATTATTGGAGATGAGATGGGGCTTGGAAAGACCATCCAGGTCTTATCTTTTCTTGGTTCTTTGCATTTCAGCGGAATGTATAAACCAAGCATTGTTGTCTGCCCAGTCACACTTTTGCGACAGTGGAAAAGGGAGGCTCGAAAATGGTACCCAAGCTTTAAGGTGGAGATCCTTCATGATTCTGCTCAGGATCTAGATAATAGGAAGAAGAGGTCCAAATCTTATGAAAGTGATTATGAGAGTGAAGGTTCACTAGACAGCGATTATGAGGGAAATTTATCTTCTAAAACCTCTAACAAATGGGATTCCTTGATCAACCGTGTTTTGGGGTCAGAATCTGGTTTGCTCATTACCACTTATGAGCAACTCCGTATATTAGGGGAAAAACTACTCGACATAGAATGGGGATATGCAGTTTTAGATGAAGGTCACCGTATTCGGAACCCAAATGCTGAAGTTACTTTGGTCTGCAAACAGCTCCAGACTGTTCATCGTATAATAATGACAGGTGCACCGATTCAGAACAAGCTTTCTGAACTGTGGTCTTTGTTTGATTTTGTTTTCCCCGGAAAGTTGGGGGTCTTGCCTGTGTTCGAAGCCGCGTTTGCAGTCCCCATATCTGTAGGAGGTTATGCAAATGCTTCACCATTACAAGTATCCACAGCATACAGGTAAACATTGTGATATCTCTGGAACTCTGAAACCCAACTTGCACACGAATATATAGTTTTGTATCTCCATTTGCTGCTGAAGGGAAACTTGTTGGTTGATGTGTTTGAAAGGTTTGTAACGTACTTGTAAGTTGATCTCAGTAACTTGTAAAGATTACGCTCCTTCCTCCTCCTTGCTGTGGGTTGGGGAAAAAAAAAAGTGAAGGGAAAGTTTGAACTTTGGAGGTTAATCAATAACTATTGGTTTTATTAGTTCATAACGCTATAACCATTAAGGAAATTCTATCTAAATCTATTAGTTAGCTATTTGTTTCCATGGTTCCTCACTTTGTGTTGTCTTGAGTTGGGAACCTATTGTTGTGCAGGTGTGCTGTGGTTCTGCGTGATTTGATAATGCCGTATCTCCTTCGGCGTATGAAGGCTGATGTGAATGCGCATCTTCCTAAAAAGACTGAACATGTCCTCTTTTGCAGTCTCACTACTGAGCAACGATCTGTTTACAGAGCATTTCTTGCTAGCTCTGAGGTGGAACAGATATTTGATGGGGGTAGAAATTCTCTTTATGGAATTGATGTGATGCGCAAGATTTGCAACCATCCTGATCTGCTTGAGAGAGAACAAGCCTGCTGGAATCCAGACTATGGGAATCCTGAACGTAGTGGAAAAATGAAAGTGGTTGGTCAAGTGCTCAAAGTTTGGAAGGAGCAAGGTCATCGTGTTCTTCTTTTCACCCAGACTCAACAAATGCTTGATATCATGGAAACCTTTTTGACTTCTGATGGTTATAGCTACCGGAGAATGGATGGTCTTACTCCAATAAAACAGAGAATGGCCTTAATAGATGAATTTAACAACTCAAATGACGTGTTTGTTTTCATTCTGACCACAAAGGTTGGTGGGATAGGGACAAATCTGACAGGTGCAAATAGGGTGATCATTTTCGATCCTGATTGGAACCCCTCAACCGACATGCAGGTATTTTGACTTGCTTCGTTTTGTATTGTTAGATGTATACATAGTTTTTACCTTTTCTACTACGTTGGGTGCATCAGATAGTCAGAGAGTGTTTTTGTTTTTGTTGCTTCTTGATTTGATACGTTGCTTACCCGCAAAACACACTGATTGAAACTTGTTACAGGCAAGAGAACGGGCTTGGCGTATTGGTCAGAAGCGAGATGTCACTGTATATAGACTGATCACCCGTGGAACTATCGAGGAAAAGGTTTATCATCGGCAAATTTACAAACATTTTCTCACCAATAAAATATTGAAGAATCCACAACAGAAAAGGTTCTTCAAAGCTCGAGATATGAAGGATCTGTTCACTCTCAAAGATGAGGGAGAGACTGGAACTACTGAAACCTCTAATATATTCAGCCAATTGGCTGAAGATGTCAATTTTGTTGGGTTGCAGAAAGATGAACAGGATAAGCAAGGTGCCTTAGCTTATAAAGGAAACAACGCAGGAACTGTACCTTCGAAGAGAAAAGGAAAAGAAAAGGCTGATTCCAGTGATGGTGAAGTAGATGAAGAAACAAATATATTGAAGAGTCTTTTTGATGCTCATGGGATACATGTAAGTTTCTCCACTGCTTATTTCCATAACCAAGTTCCAACGATTACCACATTGCATATCATCCATGCTTGCAGCATTAACTATGAATTTTGATAACTTCCTTGCTTAGAATGTGCTTTTCTCAAGGTGTTTTTCTTTTTTCTTTCTATTGCCAAATTTTCTGATTGGAGTTCGAAGAATTTATCTTCAGTACTATCTGCTTCCCTTTTGATTGAAACAAAAGCATTCACTAATCGATATCAAATTCCAGACTTCAGTTATGACTGGTTGAAACGCTACCGCTTTCTCTGTAGTCTAATTTAGCTTTTCTCCTCTAATCTGATCTTACTTTCATTCTCCAGAGTGCAGTGAACCATGATTTAATCATGAATGCTCATGATGAAGAAAGAATGAGGCTGGAGGAGGAGGCTTCTCGAGTTGCTCAAAGAGCAGCTGAAGCATTGCGCCAGTCTCGAATGCTTCGGAGCCGCGAAAACATCTCCGTCCCAACATGGACTGGGAAATCAGGAACTGCTGGCGCACCATCATCAGTGCGTCGAAAATTTGGTTCCACTGTGAATTCCAAGTTGATCAACAGTTCTAAGCCGTCAGATGAATCTTCCCGAAATGGAGCAAGCAATCTCAATGGCATTGCTGCCGGCGCATCTGCTGGAAAGGCATTATCTTCAGCTGAGTTACTAGCAAGGATTCGGGGAAACCAAGAGAGAGCCACCAATGCCGGAATCGATCATCAGTTTGGAAATGCTTCTAATCCAAACAGAGGAAAATCTGCAAATATTGGATCTTCCAGAACATCTCAAAACCTATCTAGAGTGCCGCCTGAAGTATTAATTCGTCAAATCTGTACTTTCATACAGCAGAAAGGTGGAAGGGCAGATTCTGCAACCATAGTTCAGCATTTTCGGGACAGAATACCCTCGGAGGATCTTCCTTTGTTTAAGAACCTTTTGAAAGAAATAGCTACATTGGAGAAAAACCGAGATGGTTCAGTTTGGGTTCTAAAGCCAGATTATCAATAGTATCTGATTTTTGATTTATTGCTGAAGGATGCTGTCAAACTGTAATTTTTTAGGTTCAGCCGTTTTTTTTTTTTTTTTTTTTTTTTTTTTTTAGAGCTTCTCCGCTCCAGTTGTGGGCGATTGTTCTTACCGGGGCAAAGGGAAACATGAGAGTTCTTTCAACTTTTTGGTGCTTCCTAGCACTGTTTTGATTAAACAACACTAGATAGAATATTCATTTCTGTACATAGAAGGTTTATCATTCTTTTTTGTCTGTCAGACCACGAGAGAAATTCAAGCAAAGTTGTGACGAAAGATTTTGTAGATTCGTGTCCAACACGTCTTTTAACGGAACCAAGGGAAACCTTGGTCACACACACACACACACACACGCACCTCATTATCAATTTAACACGATGGTTGGTTTGTTTCTGTTTGTCTTTTCTTCCTCACATTGTATGATGATTAGGATGTACGATAGCTTGAAACTACAATTATATGATACTGTTGTAAGGCTTTTCACTACAAAACAATTTTGTTGGCTTAGCAACGATAAGAAAAATATATGCCGGTTGCTTTAAGAGGACGTGTCGTTTGAAGTTTGACTGCCACGAAGAAAATGTCGTTTTTTTCTGGTCATCAAGGAAACAGTACATCTTTAGAACTAGTGATTGGAAATTTGCCTAAAAAAATATGGAATGGCTAGAAAAAGAGATGAAAAAAAATCTTTGTAAGACTTGGATAAGGCAAACCAAATTTACTTATTCACAATTTTGATACATGATATTACGAACTCTGGAAATTCAAAAGTCAGCATCCCAAACCCAAAGAAAGAACCGGGTAGGATAGAAGAAGCATATAAATATATTGCACAAAACAATTATTTTTCAGATATTAAGTATTTGGTAGTTGATACTTTCTCACTTTTCTCATATATTCCATTTTTTTGTTTTCCTTTAAGAAAAAGAGGTAAAAAATGTAAAACATCAGACATGAACTCAATAACAATGAACAAATGATCCCTCAATCAGAATGCTGCCCATCCGGCTGCGGTGGTCTTTGTTGAGCCAGATCCTGTTGCTGAAGGAAGACTCCTCTGCATAGCAAAAATAGCGTGTTATACATGTCAATGGGTTTTTAATATTTCATGAGGAGTTCATTAGATAGCTCAAAAATAAACTGGACAGAGGAAAATGTTAAGATTGAATTTCGAAGATGCTTCCTAGAACAAACACGTCAATGACTAATGAGCAACAATGAACTCATCGGAACAAACAACAAGGACCATCAAAGATCAAGAAAATACTCGAGCATCCCATTTCTATCTTCATTAAAACCATTATGTTAGAAAGTTAAGAGACACCTTGCAGCTAGTCACAATGGGATCAAACAGCAAGACAAATGCCAAGAAATATCAACCACTACCACAGGACAGACATACTTAAGATAGTATCACACTTGGTATCTTATTCTTCTAAGAGAAATTATTATGCCAGATCATGAGATCATCCATTCACTCAAAAGGCATTTTGCCCGATAAGCCATTATTTCATTCATATTTCATACTACGTTCAAAATGCAATAACAATCTAAGGCCTAATTTATTTTGCCAATTTGAGTTTTCAATTCGAGTTGAAAAGTGATTTTATGTTTGAGTAGACATTGTAGCACAAAAAGTTGTATTTGAATGGTGTGAGAGAAAACACCCAAAAATTTTAACAGATTATCCATCAAGACCTACTTGGCATTATAATTATTGAATTATGACGACAATTCAAATCCTTGTCACATTCACAAGTTGCCCTTTGTCTTAAGCATATCTATTTTTCTTTTCTGACAGATGACCAATTGTAAACAAAAATGTACGAGGATCTCTTAAACAGCAACTTGGGCAAACTTGTCGTAAAGCATCAAACAAGAGGCAATACATTGCGTACCTCAAGTGGAGAAAGATCTGACAAAGAATCACTGCTCCGACTCGTGTTTTCCTTGGGAACCTTGAGATCATCAACACCATGATTTCCAGAGGTCATCCGAACAGCAGCTGGATCATTGGGAGGCGGTGGCAATGGAGACCTGATTTTCCCCGTCCCCGGCGGCGGCGAAAGGCCCACTGTTTTTGGCTTTCCGGTGCCGGAAAGCCCAGCAGCCGATAGCATCCCGGTCCCACTCGACGGCTTGGGCTTCACATTTATCCGAATAGTTTCCCCTTCCTACAATCTCCAAAACCTAATAAATCAAAATCAAACTCCAAAAAAGAAAAAGAAAAACAAAAACAGATTTTTCTCCAATACCTTCAGTCTGTGATTAACGGCGGGGTGGATATCGATGTGAGAATCGTCGCTGACCTCGCCGCCGGCGACCTCCTTCTCGTGCTCTCTCCTGATGTACTTCTCGTGGTCGGACAGAGCCACATTGAAATCGAAAGCCTCATTCCTCTCCGCGAACCCTAACCCGATGAAGGCGTGCTTTCCATGACCGTCCTCGATCTTGAGCACGAAGTACCGCGATGAGTCGAGGACGGTCTCGACGGAGGTCTCGCGCTGGCCCGGGTAGACGAAGCAGGCGGCGAATAGCTCGCCGGAGTTCGGATCCTCGAGCCGGATCTCGCACCGGTCCTTGCACGATACGACCCTGAGCCGGCCGGACCAGATCTTGTCGGACTGGAGCCACTCGCCGCACTTGTAGCCGCCGGAGGTCGACCGCGGCGGGATTTTGTAGACCGCCACCTCCCGCACTACCAGGAGAGTGTGCTCGAACGCCTCCTCCTCCTCGAACGACATCGTTTCACCGGAGACCGATCTGCCAAAAATCGATACCGATTTTTCGTTTGCTTCCTCTGTTCTGGTTTAGGAATTTGGAGAAGAAATTAGCTTGAATTGGAAGAGTGAGAGGTGAGATTGAATGAATAAGAAGAAGGTGCAGCGAATGCATCAATGGAGGTTGCAGAAACGTGGCTTCGAAGACTGCTCCACTTTCTTTGAAAAGTCAACTGGATTGCTTCTGTACTTTTACCAATTTGTCCTTTTCCTTTTATCGTCATCTGTGTTATGGATAAGCCCAATGAGCATTATCATTCAAAGCCCAGCCCATGATCTTTTCGGCCCTCAATCGAAAACTCTCGAATCACGTGCGTCTCATGTCGTATAATAAACAAGCAAAACCAACCCTATTTTATCAGAAGACTCACCAGTTCAGTTCTCTCTCTCGCCTCGCCGTCGACTCTCTCAGCCTTCATTCCTCGGACTTCGTCGTCTCCTTTCTCCGTTAAAAAGGTAAAAGCTTTGAAGCTTAGACTAGTTTCGATTTCCATTCTATATTAAAAAAATAGTAAATTGGAAGAAGAACAAGAAAAAATACTCTTTTTTTTCTTATTTTGTTCTTGTGTTTTGACAACACACTGGAATATTGTTTAGTTTCTCTTGTCGTTGATTTTTTTTTTGTTAATGTAAATTTCTGTCAGAATTTTGCTTAATCAAGGCTTTTTTTTTTTAATTTGCTGGTTTTTTTTTTTTTTTTTTCATTTAGTTATATGTTCTTATGTTGCCTTTTCTATTTTAGCAGGGTTTTACAATCAGCAAAAAATGTATCTTCAGTTTTACATAAACGAGAATGGTGACAAGGTCTACACTACCAAGGTGACTTTTTAACCCTCGCTTTTCTATATTGGATTATGGAAGCACCAATTTCAATTTTTCTTCTTTTTTCTTTTTTGTTTTAGCTTCGTAATTATAATATGCGTTTTTCAATTTGTCTGAAATGTTTTACTGAAATACTGAAGATGAATTCATAAAACATCATGCTTTATCAATTGATTTGATACAACTAGAAGCTGAGTGTTGTGTTGCAGACTTCCGTTTTTAATTTATTACTGCTTTTTTCACAAATTTTGGTCGGTTTTTTGTGCAATTTTGGTCCCCTTATATCTTTATAACGACTAATCCCCGCTTGCTTTGTGCGTGCAGAAAGAATCACCACTTGGGTCGCCTACTGAATCTGCTCATCCTGGTATATTTTTCAACTTTCAACTTAATTTGCTTGAAATTTTCTTCCCCTTTCTTCGTAACGCGAATCGTCTTGTTTGTTACTTTATTCAAGCATATTGTCATGTTGTCTGTGTTATGGTTACTAGACTTTTAGTTTTACATTATTTAGGTCATCTTATACTATAATGACAGTTAACAAGTATAAGTCACTCATACCTATAAGTATATATGATTTGAATTTTGGGTTTCTCATCTGAGCTTTGAACAATTTTTCCATCACCCTCGGTTTATTCATCAGACTCTAGTTTAAAGAGAACGGCCTTCTTTTATGTTGAACGTTTCTTGAGCTTACGAGTCCTTGTATTGCGGTGTTAACCTGTTTCTTCTGTCTCCGCTTCATTTGCAGCACGCTTCTCTCCTGATGACAAATACTCGAGACACCGCATTCTTTTGAAGAAGCGTTTTGGATTGTTGCCAACCCAGCAGCCCCCACCAAAATATTGAATACCTTCATTGGTTCAACCTTTGTGTTGTCGTATTTTGTGGTTATGAATTTTGATCCTTCCTAGTCCGTTTGCATTAAATCTTTCTGCTTAGTCTGTACTAAATATCTCTACTACCTGTTTACAGCAGACAGATACAGATACTGTTTTCTGCGTTATTATGCGATAGTTGAGTTCATCACATATAATAGACTTTTAGAAAGCTTTCGCAATATTATATTATATCAAACTTTTTTTTCCCTCCAAAGGATGATCAGATGTGTACGGTAAAATGCGGAACATATCATGATAATATGTAGTCACCATTTTGCCAGATTATGTTTTTTGCGTCCACATAATGAGATGAGTGCCTGATATGTAAAAACTAGAGCCATGATCGTGAACTAAGCTAGTACACTTTGTGGTGCGAATGAAATTCAATGGTGTGCGCCTAAAGTGGTAATTGCATGTGTAAACGGGGTTGGAAGCAGATGGAACTAGGATTTAGTTTTATTGTTTGGGATAAATTATTCTTAATATGGATAAAAAATTCATGTCTTTTTCTCATATTCTCATATTTGAAACGCATTGGTTTTTGCGCCACTCTCATTTCGGCCTAATATTGGGCTTAATTATTGGACCAAACTGCAGTTTAAATTGGATCAAATCGCCTTAGAACGAGCTACTACAGTGTCATTAGACCGGTTTAAGTTTTTCAAATCGTCAAAATGATCTGGTTTGGCAAATCTGATGGCTTGGGAGAGGACCAAACCACGTGTACCTATTTCGTCTAAGTTTCTCAATGTACAAGTATCTTGCACTGCTGCGTGTGAATGATATAGCCATAAGAAACATGTCCATCATTTTTTCTTTGGATTATTTTCATAATGCCCCGAATTATGTACCTTCTTTTAAAGTGTTTTCTGATTTTTCAAAACATGTATTAGTTCAAAATACCTCTTGATGTATAGAAAACAAGTCAAATTCCGTCTAATTTGAAAATACTTGACCTATTTTGATGTGAAATTGATCTTAAATTTTGCACAATAATTCCAACATTTCTATGGGAGTGACCTATTCTAATTCGGAAAATTATAGTAAATATTAGATTTTTAAAAACTAAATTAAGTGAATATCATATTTTAAAACTATTTAAAGTAAATAACATTTTACATGTAAATGAATATGTAAATAATTTAATTACAGTTGGTAAAAAAATTTAAAAAAATTCTTATTTACATGAAAATTTTATTTTATCAGTCATAAAAAGAAAATTTATTTAAAAAAAGTATTTTTGCTAACGGTAAATGAACCATTTACGGGATAAATAATTCATTTACTTCATAAACTTTTATTTAGGTGACGTTTGGTTTATGAGTTCAAAATTATGGTTCATAATTTTAATTTTTAAAATTTAAATTTTTTATAAGAAAAAAACACAATAACAAAACTAAAAACTATGATTCAGAACTATACACAACCCCCTCGAAACAAACATAATTCACCCAAAATAAACGTGACCTTATTTTAAATAGTTTTAAAACATGTTCTAATTCACCCAAATCGGGCATCCGTAATTAATACGGGCCCAATGGATTTCCTTTAAAGCCCAAAATAGAATCGGACATCGTCGTAATTCAGGTAGAGCCCCGTGGACAGTTTGGGTATTCAAATGCAAAACTCACGGCAACTAGTCCCTTCTCTCTTTTCTTTGTTCGCGTCCTTCACTTCCCTCCCTCACTAGTCATCGCGTCCTCGGAGACTTTAAGGCTCCACTCCCAAATTTCTCCTCCAAAGTTTCTCGTACGATCTCTCTCCTCTTTCCGATCTAAAACCCTAGGGTTTGTATAGATCGTTGTTATGCACGTGTGTGTGTATATATATTATTTATATATTTATATTACATGTGTATATTACAGTATATATAATATGCTAGCGTGAGTGTTTATGAATTTCTGAAGCATTGATTTTTATGGTTGTCGGTTGATGTTGCAGAAATGGCTGTTAGAGCTTTAGGAGGATTTCTGGTTCTGCTTTCTGTGATTGCGATCTGCGAAGCTGCTTCTGTCTTTCAGCCGATCACGGACGCTCACCGATCCGCGGCTCTAGAGCTTTTTAAGCCCACCGATGGATCCTTTGGCAGGTGAGTTAGAATCTACATTTAATCCCAAAATTTATCCTCTTTCTAAGCATTCTTTTTAATCTGTTTTCGTGATTTCCTGTTTGGTTGTCGAGAAAATGGAATTTGAGTAATTTGGAAGGTTCAATTGAGTTACGTGACCTACTTTTTTCTCTTTGCTAGCAATTGATGTTAAATTTTGTAATTCGATCTTAAAAGATGACTAATAATGTGTTTGGTATAAATTCTTGCCAGTTTGGAAGAGGCATATGGGGCCCTAAGATCATTTGAGATTCTTGGAATTGATAAGAAGCCTGATATAAGCAGCGCCACTTGTGATTCTGTTCTTGAAACTCTTGGTTCATCATCTTCATCTCCAAAGGATTTGTTCCACGCCTTAAGAGTTAATGGCATTTTGAAATGCAACGTTAAGGAGGATGCTTTTGAGGTATTGTTGAGCCCTTAGAAATGATATGTTGTTGAAAACACTTCCAAGATAATTGCTGATTATGAAAAGGTTTTGATTTTGTTGCCTAATCTTCTTCTCGTTATGTAGAGTGTTGTTTCAAGACTTAAAGCTGCAATTAGCAGTGCAAGTTCGTTGCTTGAGTTTTACTACTCAATCGGAAGTTTGGAACTCATTAAGGTGACTACTTATATGCAGCCGTTATTGGTTTTACTTTCCAGTATATATTTCTATTTCATTCTGGGCTGACCTCAAATTTGATTTTGTTTTCCAATTTATGGAATTAGCTAAAGAGAATTTTTCTTACCCTTTGTGCCGTAAAATAAAATCCTTAAACTGGGACGTTCTTTTATTACCAATAAATATCATTTTGTTTAGGGGGGCTAAATTTTCGGTTTTGGAGGCTGTATGATTTTTAAATTCTCTCTTTTTAGTACCATAATTTTGATAAATGTTTCTTTTTTATTGCCTTTAATTCTTTTCCTCTCTTGATGCAGGGTCAAAGTTCTAACGTCAATGTACTTCTTAGTGATGCTGATGGAATCTTTCGTTCCATCAAGGTTGGTAGTAATTTAGCAATAAGCAGTGATTCTGATTTGGGAATAGGTTCAGTTCCGTTTACTCCTTGCCCTCTACTCAGACGGGATGTTCATGTGCAAGATTTAAGGGCCATGGGCAACTCAGTATTGGAGCTGATCCTGATTCTGATTCTTTTTTCCCAACCTCTGATCCCTATTCTCATTCTCTGTTTATTCATATGCCTCACTTACCCTACAAATTATATATTGTTGTAAGTTGATGATCCGTGTGGTCGCAGGCTTTGAGCCAGAGTGATGGAAGGTGGCGCTACAGCTCTAATAACCCTGAGTCTAGTACCTATGCTGCAGGTAATGACTTGTAGCCCTCCATTGCTCCTCATCCCTGAATTGTTTTGAACTTAAGACCTCTCTCATCCAATCACTTTGATTTGCTTTGATTAACTACTGAGTTTATCATGCCTCCTGCAGGATTGGCGCTTAAAACACTTGCTGGTGTTGTTTCTTTGGCATCATCTGAAATTGATCAGTCATTGGTAATTGAACCCATCCTTTTTTTTGTTTTTGTTTTTTTTTTTTTTTTGCGTGGTTAAAATATCACCAACCACATGTTTCTAATATATCCGAAGATAATTTCTTTCAGTGTTCATTTTGCCTTGTAGAGGCATCTGTTTACTTGAGTTCATGGTTAGCTTATTTTGCTTTCAGTGTTTTACTTTCTTTGTGTTTGTGTGTGTTTTCGCTGGTAGATCTCATTTGTTAGTGTCAGTTATGTTTTATTGACAACCTACATCTTACAATTAGTTTTCATTGGCAGATTGGCACATTGAAAAATGATATAACGAAGCTCTTTGACAGCGTTGAAAAATATGGTACGCGTAGCTCCCTTTTTCCTCTTATTGGTGCTCTAAATCTTATGCTTTTATTTTGTCATTTTCATCTTCTTTTATGCTAGAATTTTTAAGCTCTAGACACCACTGGAAAAGCACCTCTTTAGATCTAGATATGCAATTTACCAGTGACTAATTTAATATTAGCAAACATGATCCCATTTGAAGATCTTTTTTCATATTTTCTTTTTCCTCGTAAGGATTCAAAACATTTGACATACTAAATATTACACTGCCGTTCATGTAAAAGCCAGTGGTTAGCTGGGCAGTGTACTCTAATTGCTTTTCAAATTATTCTGATGTAATACCACTTGGTTAACTTACTAGATATAAACTATAAAATGTAGATGATGGAGCCTTTTATTTTGAAGAAAAAGTTGTCGAGGCATACGAGCATCATGGTCCTCTTGCAACTACCTCTTCAGTTGTTCGAGGGTTTACTGCATTTGCAGATGTGACTTTTGGAAATATAAAAGTGAGCATACTTAATGTTCACGTGAATGATTTTAACATAGTCTTTTCAAATTTTTTCTAATGCTTTATTTTTGAGTTTGCAGCTTCCAGGGGACAAGATATTGGGTTTGGCAAAATTCTTTCTTAGCATCGGCATTC